GGGTGAGGGTGAGGGCGGGGAGGAGGGGGCGGACTACAGGGGCATTCAGTCGGTGCCGAGCTTCAGTTCGATGGGGTCCCCGGTGGCGGGCGGCCCAGGGGGCGCCTACAGCCACAGCGCGGAGCGCAGCAGCATCCACCACCTGTCTCACCTGTCATGAGCGCCCGCGGGGGCGCCGGCGCCGCCGGATTTTCGGCGCGCGCGCGCGCGCGGGGGCGGGCGCGCGGGCGGCTGGGGATCTGGGGCGCGGTGGTACTGTAAGCTGGCTGTTCCCGCGGGGCGCGGTGCTGTGGTTGGTTTCGTGTCGCCCTCGCTCGGTCCGAGGGGGCTCTTGGTTTGATGCGGTCTTCCGCATGAGGGGTGCGGTTTGTTTCAGACCCGGCTGTGCCGCGCCGGCGTCGCTTGGAACGCGCGCGCCGCTCTTCAACCTTGGATGCCGCTTGACCGAAGCTTTGATTCGTCCATGGTTGGGTAAACAGCTCGTGTATATTATCGCGCCAAGTAAGCCTGCGTGACCCAGTGCGGCAAACGGCTTTCATGTCAAGGCTTGCCACAGCCTCCACTACTTCAAAGCTTGTTCACGTGAGCAGCAGCGCAGCGCTTGGCTCGACTACGCCGCAGCAGTCGGCTGCTTTGTATGCGCCAGCGGCGGCAGCGAGAGGCGGCCAGGCTGCTGTGCCGCTACGTCACGGTCTGCTGGTCCATCAAGGTGGCTGAGGACATTACATAAAAAAAGGGTGGGTTTGCTGGCCTGTCTTGCCAAGCACCTGCAAGAGAGTGATAGGACCCAGAACTCAACAAAGTCAAGATACATTACGAACAGATGAACTCCGTCGTGGCATGCATGCAGAAACGTCTTACATTACGAATAAACAATTCATCCACCAAGTGGGCGAGGCATCATGATCATCGGCCCAGGAACGGCCCAGGTGACACAAAATAGACACCGCACTCGGGCTGGCCCTGCTGACAGCGAGCCCGTCTGAAGGCCCCGCCGCGCACCAAGGCTGGGCGGCGCGCCCACCAGTGGCGCCCTAAACCTCCACCTGAAGCCTTCGCTGCCGCCCATCCGCCTCCACCAGCGGCTGCAGCTGGTCAAGTTTGTCGTACATCCCCTAATCGGCAGGGGTTTGTGCAAGGGGGAGCGGGCACGAGTTGGGTTGGCAAGATGCTTTTGGGGCCCCTCGGACTGGATTGGCGTGAATGGCACTGCTCTTGAGGGGCAGGGCGGGGGCTGGTGCTGCTGGAGAGTGGCGCAGCGGGTAGATCAGGCGTGCTCCAGCGCTCGATGCAGGGCGACGATAATCATGTGCGCGTGCGGCACGGCGCGTCAGGCCTTCGTGTCACCCTTCACAGCAGCCAGGAACGACCCCCCTCCCCGCCCGCGCGCAGCCCGCGCGCCCCGCACCCCCCGCCGCCCCCGACGCGCCCGGCCGCCCACCAGCAGGCCGCCCGTGTGCAGGAACAGCACCCTGCGGCCGCGCCACTCCCCGGGGGCCGCGGCTATGTCAGCCAGCAGCTGGTGGAGGGCCTTGCCGCTGTACACGGGGTCTAGCACGACGCCGGTCGCGCCCGCCACCGCCTGCGCGCGCGTGGTGCATCGGAGGTCTTCGGAACAAGGGGGAGGGATCAAACTTCGCATGTCCCTTGCCTTGCTGTCCTGCCTGGCGCTGGGACGACTTAATGAGTACCATTGCGCTGAGAAATGATAACTAATACTGTCAACTGAATACAGCAGAGAAGTCGAGATACTGCAGCACGTGCTCCACACCACCACCATCAACAAGTGGGGCGGACAGTCGCGTCCGCAGGGCCGCCGTCCGTTGAGCGGCCCCGCGAGCCCAGATGCCTCCCCATCCGTCCCCGCACAGCAGCACGTGCGGCACGAAGTGGCGGGGCCCCGGCAATCCTGCCACCCGCCCCCTGCGCCACCCCTGGCGGCCCAACCCTGCACCCTACACCCTGAACTGTAATCCCTAAACCCACCTGCACCGTGGCCAGCTCAGCGTCGCTGCTGATGGCGTAGCCCAGCCCCCGCGCCTGCACGGCCGCCAGCGTGCCGCGCGCCCCGGCGGCGTCGGGCCAGCCGAGGCCGCGGTACAGGCCGTCTATGAAATTGTAAAAGTAATCGGGGTCGTCGCAGACGCCTGCGACCATGAGGTGACGATCAGCGATTAGGGATTTGCCAATGAAGATTGAGAATTTGGGTTGCTTGCGGATTGCCCCTGGGGCTTGATTGCTGGTGGGCTCTGGACCACCCCAGCCCCTGAGGCGATTTCAAGACGGGGGCATGTTGACCTTGGTTTGACCAGGGCGGCCCAAGGTGTGTGTGTTGGTAAGCAAGGGTTGAGTTTCAGGGTTCAAGGCCTGGTGGTTGAAGGATTGGCGCCAAACCCTGAACTCCAGAGCGACGGCAATGCAGCGTCAGGCGAGGCCGGCCTTGCGTGGAAGCCGGCGTCAGACGCTGGAGTAAGGCTCGGAAATTCGGCCGCATTGAAAACCACGAGTGGGCTGCCCCCACTGGGGTTACTGCTCAGTGCCAGCGCAGCGCGCTCAACACTTCCTCTGAACTGCGTGCCCGCACGGATGCGGGGGCCCGGCCTCCCCCCGCGCCGCCGCACCGTAGGCGTGCACCCGGGCGCCGTAGCCCGAGAGGTGGTTGCCCAGCGCCAGCCCCGCCGTGGTCCCGCCGCTGCCACAAGCCTGGGCAGGGACGGGGAGGGTGGGCAAGGACGCATCGGGGTGGGCGAGGCAGACCGCATCGGTGCCAGGTGAGCGCTTGCCGTCCACCTTCGCCCACCAAAACACGAATGCGAGTGCGTTTGTACGTGCACTTCCACGCGCAGGGACACGAGCAGTCCACACTGGACAGCAAAGCCTGAACGTGAATCAAATTGCACGTGACAAGCGTGCTGTGCCAAGCAGCAATGTCACTTCAGTGCAGTGCGGCGCCCACCACCTCACTCACCATGATGATGTCATCAAACTTGAACCCCAGATCCTCTGACTGCTTCTGGATCTCGTCGACCGCCATCAGGTAGCCCCAGCAGCCCTGAAGGCATAGGGGCAGGTTTGATTCAGGGTTAGGGTTTGGGGGTTCAGGTTCCATGTTGGTGGTTGAGCCAGAGAGACGCGGAAAAAAGCTCGTGGATGGGAAAAGCATGGGGGTCATTGACCAAAGCTTGGTGTCAGAAAGTGGCTGCTGCAATGCCTTGTACCCCCAAACACACACCCACACACAACAAACACACACAAAGACACACACACACACACACACGCACAGAGTAACGACATCAGCGGCGCACCAGGCTGTTTGAGCCCCCCACAGGTATGAAATAGGGCTTGCGCCCTTCTGCCTTGAGTTGCTCCGCAAGCTGCTGCCCCAGGGCGTCACCCCCCTTGGCCGCATACTCCTCCTTGGTGATCTGGGGTGACGGGTGGTGTGTTGGTGGAAGTGTGTGGATGTGTGGATGTGTGGATGTGTGTAAATGCGAGTAAGAGTGTATGTGTTTGTGTGTGAGAGATGTGGTGTGTGTGTGTGTGTGTGTGTGTGTATGAGAAAGAGAGAAAGAGAAAGAGAAAGACAGAGAGAGAGAGAGAGAGAGAGAGAGAGAGAGAGAGAGAGAGAGAGAGAGAGAGAGAGAGACAATGATATAGCTTGTGAGTGTCTGTGAAGGGGGAACGCTGGGAGGAAAGTTGCAGATGGTGTTGCCCCCTCCCAAACCAAGCCCCTTGCCGCCAAGCAACGCTCGTGACGACCGCCTGCGTCTGCCTTTGTTGTTGCATGCACACATGCACACACACACATGCGTGTGCGAACTTGGACTATCACTGTTGAAGCAAAGCTGCGTACGCGCACAGAGTTTGCTCACCTTGTGCACCACCGCGCCAGCCAGCCGCTCCACCAGCAGGTTGCCCACCAGGCCAGGGTCACCTGCAGACAAGTTGAGCGCAAAATGAGTCGCAGGCGCAAAGTGCCCAGTCAAGGCGGGCCGCAGCAGCCGGAGTTCGTTCGTGGTGCCGGGCACAGGCCAAACTGCCAGCCCTGACCAGCGCCGATGCGCTCCTCCGGTGCTCTGCGCTCTTGCACACAGCTTTGCGCCAAGTCACACATGCAGTGTTCATGCGGCGGCAATGAGGCAGCTACTGTGGGCTTCAAAGCCGTCTAGCGCTTAACTTTCCCCTAAACCTGCCCATTGCATCCCATGACATCTGATCACTGGCAAGCAGCTTTTGGTCCTCTTACCATCAACCAGGGCGCGGCTGGTCCTGAGTATGAGGTGGCAGTCCAGGCCCAGGTACCGGGCAGCTACCGCGGTGGCCCTGGCAGAGGGAGGTTGCGGGTCCCACGCGCACGCCGGGCGGCGCCAGGGTGGCGGCGGCGTGGTGGGGAGACACGGATTCGGGCGGGGCGCACACGTCCATAAGTAAACAATCGTCTAGAAACAGGCGGTGCGGGAAGCGGCCGCTGCTGACGCTTCAAAAGCGACGGCCTGCCAACCGGGGCGTCTGTAAGGCGGCGGATGCAGCCGCACCGCGCGCCACTCGCCGTGCTTGCGGGCGAGCTCTCCTCTCGTCACAAAGGGGGGGGTTGGGGCGGGTGCCGCTCGCAAGCGCGCTCATGGCACATCCCTGGTTACCACCTCCCAGCACTTGGCTTTGCGCGCTTGTGAAATGGGGCAGCTGATCGCGCACCGCAGCCTCTCCCCCCGTTGTTCTTTCAAAGGCAGCCGCCGCCGCCCGCCGCCCACATCACACATGCCATCCGTTGGCGCGGCCCCGCAACTGGCGGCCCGGGGCTGGCCCGGGGCCGGCTTTGACAGCCCCGGGCCGCGCCGCGGGGAGCGCACCTTGTGTGGTTGCTCTGGATGCCGCCGACAGTCACGACACAGTCAGCGCCTTGCTGCTTGGCCTCCGCCATCAGAAATTCGAGCTTGCGCACCTGTCAAGAGTAATTGGGGTCGGGGCAAAGGGTCAAGAGTGGTGATGCAAGGTAGGGAGTGCAATTTTGTGTGGGATAGGGAGGGGATAGGTGAGGGTGCACGTGCGTGCGCGCGAAAATGCGTGTGTATGTGTGTGTGTGTGTGTGTGTGTGTGTGTGTGTGTATGTGTGTGTGTGTGTGTGTGTGTGTGTGTGTGTGTGTGCGCGCGGGTGTGCGTGCGCATGCGTGTGCGCGCGCGCGTGCGCGTGTGTGTGTGTGTGTGTGCGTGTGTGTGTGTG